AAAATTTAAAAAAATTAGCTGGCCATGGTGGTGAGCTCCTGTAGTCAAAGCTCCCTGGGAGGCTGAAGTAGAAGGATTGCTTGAGTCCAGGAGTTTGAGGCTGCAGCCTGGATGACAGAAAAAAAGATAGGAGCTAAATATTGGGTACACAGGCACTTAAAAATGGGAACAAGAGACACTTGGAATTCCAAAAGTGGTGGGAGGGACGAAGCGGGGGATGAGGGGGGCGTCAAGGGTTGAAAAACTACCTATTGGATACTATGTTCACTATTTGGTTACATGTACCCCCTGAATCTAAAATAAAAATAAAAATAAATCTGTGTTGTGATTTGGGAAAACAGGACTGAGCCTGGGATTGTGTGAAAGTGAAGAGCAGAAAACCAAGCTGCTTGTTTTTGTACCTTTTCCTTCCAGCCTGAAGATAGTGATGAGTGTATGTGAAAATCTTTGGCCATTTTAGTATATTGAGGAAAATCTGGTTCGGCACAAAATCTTACACTTTGCTTGAATATATTTGATGGTTTTGCCACCAAGAATGGAGATTTCTTCTTTCAGTAGTGACTTAGGGCTCAGTGTGGTGGCTCACACCTATAATCCCAGCATTTTGGGAGGCCCAGGTGGTTGGATAGCTTGAGCCTGGGAGTTTGAGACCAGCCTGGATAACATGGTGAAACCCCATCTCCACAAAAAATACAAAAATTAGCTGGATGTGGTGGCACTCACTTGTAGTCCTAGCTACTTGTGAGGCTGAGGTGGGAGGATCATCTGAGCCAGGGCTGCAGAGAGCCTTGATCATGCCACTGAGCTCTAGCCTGGACACAGAGTGAGATCCTGTCCCAGGGCGGGGGGAAGGGGAGATGGAGAAAAGAAAGCATATGTACTGGTACTATTAGTGTACTAAAGAAATTAGGTTCTAAAGTTGTCTCCCATCCGTTATTATTTAGTGATGGTTGATGATATGTAGCGAATATTTCTGAAGGATCATTATTTGCCAAATGTTTATTGAGCCCTAAGTTCAAGGCACTGCGTTTGGTACCAAAGGATAGAAAGATGAATATATTGGGGTCTCTGTTCCTGAGGAGCTTAAAACCTTGTGGGGGATATAAGACATTCAGTATATGGGATTGGTGAGGATAAAGAGTCTGATTTTCAGAGAAGGAAGGCAATTGGGATTGAATTTTTAGCTGGGTCTTTAAGGACAATAATTTTGAGAGGACAAGACTAAATGTTAGTAAGAAGCAGAGGAAACAGGATGAGAAAAGCATGGAGCCATGAAGCTGTGTGGTCTATTTCTGAAACAGAGAGTAATCTAGTGTCTGGAGTGTGGGTTGTATGTAAATGTGGGATATTAGCTTAAAAGGTATGTTGGAGATACATTATGAAGGACTTTGAATGAAATGCTGTTTGCTGTGGGGTATACAGTGGTGATGTCTGTATGTCATGTCATGGCCACCATTGGTGACTCAGGATGGAAACTTGCCCCAAACCAAAACACTTAGAATCCTTTTCTGGGGTTTTCAAACTTGTACTGGAAGAATTAAGAAAGATTGGTGGAGGGAATCTTAGATGTAATGCTTGGGAATTCTCAGTGACTAAGGTATCTGCATGTTTAGGACACTGATAAGCAGTAGGTGAGATGGAGAGTGACCTAGTGAGTCACATGGGCCACAGTGGAGAGAAGACATCCTGGCAGAGAAATGAATGCCAGACTCTAGTCCTCTCCCAAGCATAGCAGTACTCTTACCTTTTTGTGGTGATATGAATTTCCCCAGGAACCAGAGACCCCGCTTGAACTGGCCTAGGGAGGAATTGTTCAAATTGTCAGTAAAGGAAAAGCAGCAAAGACTCTTTGATGAAGCTGTAAAATGTGAGCTGGGAGTTACTGGGAGCCATGTTTCCAAGCGTTTGGAGAAGGCTTCTTTGAAAACTAACCTGATGAGAAAGGCAGAGGCAAGTGAAATGGGATAGCAGGTCTTCAAGTCCAGCCAGCTGCACTCCTGCTCTTCACATTGTTTGGTATTATGATCTAATAAATTCAACTTTTTGCCTAGACCAGTTCAAGTGGAGTTTCTGGTTCCTGAGGAAGTTAATGGCCAATAAAGGTAGCATGCCAACTCCTGTGCCGGGGGCAAGCATGGTGATCAACAGACCTAGTAGAACCACATACAGGTGAAGTGAGGGACTATTTTCCAAATGAAGTGGGGTAGAGGTGCTATCCTTAGTAAAGGGAGAAAACAATAAATAATCCTCTTCAGGTGAGGAAAGCTCAACTTGGGTCCATAGCCTTAGGGCTGGAAAAAAAGGTCTTCATTTGAGAAACACTGTCCCATGGGAGACAGAATCTACGGTTAACTGAGGTAGGAATGCTAGAGGATGAGCAGAATCGGGAAGAGAAATAATGGCCTCAGTAGGTTCATTTTCGGATTCAACATCTTCAGAAATGTAGAAAACTTGAGTTTGGTGGTTTTCTACATAGGCTGAGGTTCCATTTGAATTAGGATTCTGGTTGCTGTCAGTGCTTTCCTCCTCAAAGTTCTCTGACCATTCCATGTTACTGAGCCCCACCAGTGATAATGATGTACATTCAGAGTTTCTGTTATGTATGAGGCATTGTAGTAGGGCCTTTCTATATGTCTATGGCATGTAATTTAATCATTACAGCAATCCTACGAAGTGCATTATATTCAGGAAGGAAACTGAGGTCAGGGAGGATCAGAAATTTGCTTCAAACACAGGTCTGACCGACGTAAAAGAAGGTCAGGCTCTTATTATTACATTATTCTGCCTTTTTAAATAATACTACTGCCCCTCTACTAATAATATTATCAATAATGGTCAGCAGTTACTAAGCTCTTACTCGATTCTAGGTACTTTAAACGAAGTATCTTTTATTTTTTGCAAGTACTATCCTGAACTTAGAATTGGGAAAACTGAGGCTTGAGGTCATATAAATCATATGATGAAGCCAGCACTTGAATTCAGCTCTCTTGGCACTAAAGACTAGAGACAAGCACTATTTTCTATTGTCTTTAGGTCCATAAGTAAAGCTTATCTTACAGATTTCCAACTCGGCTGTTGCTACCATGCTTTCAAGTTAGTAGTTTCCCACCCGGGAAAAGGATAAAGTTTATAGCAGTGCTACTCTTCACAATCTTTAGTCCTTTCTTTGCCTTAATCTTAAGGTTTGGAAGAAAGGAGAAGCAATTCACTTCACAACATGAATGGGGGTCTCATCTTCAAAGCCATAATTAAAACTGTCCTGGATAGCTGGGCATGGTGGCACACGCCTGTAATCCCAGCACTTTGGGAGCCTAAGGTGGCAGGACTGCTTGAGCCCAGGAGTTCAAGACCAGCCTGGGAAGCATAAGGAGACCCAATTTCTTAAAAAAAAAAATTATCTAGGACTGGTGGTTAGCGCCTGTAGTCCCAGTCACTTAGAAGGCTGAGGTGGGAGGATGGCTTGAGCCCAGGAGTTCAAGGCTGCAGTGGATTATGATTAGGCCACTGCACTCCAGCCTGGGCAACAGAAGGAGACCCTATTTCAAAACAAACAAACCAACCAAAACTGTCTAGTGGCAATAAACTATAATGCCATCTGAGTGGATGACCTCAATGTAGTGTCGGCTAAAAATTTTATTTGCACATATAACATATTCATTCTATCACTAGAAGTTTCCTGTTCTGTTAAAATATAAAGTCCCTAGAGTTGTCTTTGTTCTTGAAGAGCTTCACTCCGAATCATGTAACTGATTTGGATGTCATCTTTCAATAAGACAATAGCAGCAGCATCATAAGCCTCCAGGTCAGCATAGTAGCATAGTATGTGGTGTTACCTATTTTAGTAAATTTATGTTTGGTTAACTCCTGTTGAGGAACCATACTATGACCAAAGAGATGCTATAGTTTATTTATTAGATGAATCCCTGATGTCTCCATACTAATGTAAAGCTCTGTCACAGCCTGCTTTGGTCTGCTGGTTCCTGGTTGTGGTATCCAGCTGTTTGTCAGCTTCCCCCTCCATAATCCATGGAAATCCCAACTGTATTTCCGGGTTTTGGGTTGCCTACTGGGTTCGCTGTTTAAAAATGTGAGTTAGAATGTTCCTTTTATGTTTTTATTGAAAAGAACCCAAGTTCTATGATGAGTTAAAATTACTATAAATGTTTATAGCTCATATTCATTGTATCAGATTATTTGAAAAATGTTGTCTGCATGTTCCCCTTCTGATGGAGTTTGGGTCAGATGAAGGTGGTTACAAAAATATTTGACACTAAAAATGTTCACATTACACTATTGTTTGGTAGTCATTCACTAATTCTTCATTTAGTCTACTTATTCATTAAGTATCAACAAATCTTTATTTTGGAGATGAATAAGATGTGTCCCACTGTAAGTGGGAAAGTTCATTATTTAATAGAGCTGTTTACAGACTTCAATTGGCCTTCTTGATAAATGCGATGAACATGGTTTACAATTTACAAAGATATTCAGGCTATCAGATCTGGGAATTGCTGAACTAAATTTTTGTGTATGTATTCTTATTTTTTTCCTAGGTATTTGGGGAAATAAATACTGTCTAATGGAGAAGCTAGCTTTTTCAGATTTTGTATCTGTGAATGCATATTACTAGCTGAGCTTACATGACTATGCAATTATAAAGAAGTAAAAACGCACAGGCTATCAAATGGTCCAAAAGAAAATACTGAATTATCAAGTATGTACACCGCTTATAAATCTTTGAAATCATGGGAATGTTTACAGGCAGAACGAGATGGAAATTATCTTCTTAATTGTTACCCAGTACCTTGAAAAATGCAAATGGGTGCGTGGAGATAAGGCTTGGTGTATAATTTGCCATTTTAAAAGTTTCTCTGTCAAGTTCAAGGTATAAGCTTCTTTACGGAAGGCTGAGACCAAGCCCTAGCTGCAAGACCGGGGAACTGAGTGCCGGAACGTTTGTGTTGCAGCGCCTCGCCCCTTGCCGGTGCTCTTTCGCGAAGGGACCGTCTCTGCCAAGCGCCTGTTGGCAGGAACTTGCTTGGTCGAGTCTGTGGGGCTTGTAGGTGGCTGTGGCTGAAGCAGTCGCCAAGGAGAGTCGGTAGCAGGGAAAGCGCCATGGACGATCAGGGCTGCCCTCGGTGTAAGACCACCAAATATCGAAACCCGTCCTTGAAGCTGATGGTGAATGTGTGCGGACACACACTGTGAGTTGGGCGGCAGTGGATTCCCTGGGGGAGAGACGTAGGAGAGAAGGAGAGGGCCTGGAGATGCCAGGGCTCGTCCGAGTGGGAGCAAAGGGCGTTGTTAGTTTCAACACTGTGGAAGAAAATGGGAAAAGGAGGGGTTGTGACTTGAAATGGACTGTAGCCTCTATCCCCGAGCGGCTCTGGCCTGCTTCGAACTGAGGGTTCTCAGTATGGCACGCAGCGGTTTGTCAGGTTCTCCCTCCATAGCCAATGAGTATCCCGACTGTATTTCCAAGCTTTGTGTTGTCTACTGGGCTCCAAACATCGCTGATTAAGAGCGTGGGGGATTGGAGTGCTTATTTCATAAGAAATGTTTTTATTGAAAAAGTGCGAACGTGCTATGAAAACTTAAAATTTGCTTGAGTATATACTGCTGCTATTTATTGTATGAGTTAATTTAAAAACCCTGTATGTATATCCACTCGTCCTGATGGAGTTCGGTTAGACTCTCATCACTAAAATGAAGAAAACCCGGACTCCAGGCAGTTAATTTTGAAGATATAATAATGGCTGGCATTTGAGTGCACATTTTGTGCGAGGCAATGTTCTAAGCGCCTTACCATGCATTATCTCACTTCGTTCCTACAACAATCCCGTGAAGTAGGAACTGGTATTTCCATTTCACAGGGAAGGAAATCGAGACTGCTCAGGGTCCCTTATTAAGTGGGCCTTAAGAGAATTGGAACGCGGAAGTCTGACTTTAGAACGCCCATTTTCAGGGGAAGGGGGCAGAAGGAGGGAGGTTGGGTTTGTGTGTTTTGAAGTAGGGATTGGTCAAAGTCAGATTTCTTGTCAAATGTGGTTTAGTGAAGGTGCTTGTAGAAAGCACTTTGGGATAGAAGGTGCCATATACTGCTGAGCACATATTCCTGTAGTTTCTCTGAGGTTTATTGGAAGTAAGAAATGATGGATAATCAATCTACAGTGTGGTAGACAAGGTCTCCCCCCAAACCCCAAGTGCTGACAAAAATGTAGAGCAATGACAGGGTCTTTAGGTAAGCATAAATTGCATGATTAGCTGTAGCTATAATTATTATATGGGATTTATTAATTTACTTAATTGATCCCCTTTTCTAATTGATCTTTATTTTCCTTGCTTTACTCTGCAAAGGAAGTATAGTAGAGCTGTGATTGAATGGTTTAAGATTAGAAGTAAGGTAAAAGTAATCCAGAATGCATGGAAAAGGGAATTCTACATGGAAAACACTGTAGATAGGCTGTTTTTAGAGATATTTCGTTCAATTTGTCTCCATTTTTCTTTATCAGGTTTGTTACAGTGGAAGAGGAAAGGGAGTTTGTTTTTTTGGGAAGGATACTAAATGTAATTTACCAGAAGGATGCTAAATGTAATGTTCTGGCCTAGCAGAAATTAGCCATTCAGGGAAGAGTATACGATTTCAGTAACATAAATGGCATTTTAATTAGGCACTTGTAAAATAATTATTTTAATCGGAATTGCTTTTGTTGTATACTCAGCCCTTTTTGTTAAGGTCTAAGAGTTAAGACTTTTATTAATTCTGGTGTTGAATTTAATCTGGTTAATTTGCTAACCTGTTAGATACAGGCCACATTTTACAGTCTTTTTTTGACTTGAAATGTGAACAAAATGAGTAAAAGGCTGTAGCATATTGGCTAAGAGAACAAGCTTTGGAATCATTCTATCTGATTTCACATTCTTCACTCTTACCGGCTCTGTGGCCTTAGGCAAATGACTAACTCTTTTTCAGTCATTCTTGTCTGTACAGTAGAGGAAATAGTGCTGCTTGTATCATGGTCCTTAAGTATTAAGTAGTATATGTAAAATATTTAGAAATATTTAGTAGAGTTTCTGTCACATATTTGTTTACTGTATATTGGCTATTTTATTGTTAATATTATTTGTGTGTGGCATGGGTGATAGCAGAAATAAAATTAAAACAGGACTTATTTGGCCTGCTATGAAAGACTTGCACAATAATGATTAAATGATTTTAGTACACAATAAAATGTGAAAATATAGCTTTAATTATAATGACTCTTGTAATTTTCTTAATATGAACTCTTTAGCATGTTCTTTAATTAATCATCCATTTAAAAAAGTACCTTAATCTAGGCTAACATAGAGAACTCACTGATTTTTTTGGCAATCCTTAAAAAAATATAAAATTATATAAGTAATTAATAAAAGCAACATAAGTTATTAAGTGAAAGGTAAAAATTTTTGTGGTTCACTTTTCCAGAGGTGACAACTTTTAGGTTGTTTGTGTATATTTTCAAATGTTTTCTATGCATATACAAACATGGATGTGTTTGGGTAGAAAACTTTTTCTTTCCTTAGCATAAACAGGAATATAGCATAAACATATATATGTATATATATATATATATATATATATATATATATACATCTCCTTGCTTTTTTTCATTATGTATATCTTGGATAATCTCTAGATCAATATGCATAGGTTTTCCTTTTTTAACAATTTGATAGTAGCCCATTGTTCAAATATATAATTGGTTTACCCAAATTTTAAAAATTAATATTTATTGAATTTTCCAATTTTTTCTTGGAGTACCCATAAATATGCACATATATGTATAAATATATCTTTGGGCACTTACGCCAATGTATCATAAAATATAATAGGTAAAAATCATAGCACAGTGTCCAGTAGTGGAACTATTGGGTCAGAGTTTGTGGTTTCAAAAATTTGATACATATGGCCCAGTTGTCCTCAAAAAACGCTGTGTCAAGTCAGGCATGGTGGTGCCTACCTGTAGTCCTAGCTACTTGGGACGCTGAGGAGGGAGGATTGCTTGAGCCCAGGAGTTTGAGACCAACTTGGGCAACATAGGGAAACTCCATCTTTAAAAAGAAATAATTGTGTCAATTATGTTGCCAACAACTGTATTGAGATTCCAGTTGCCTCACATCTTTGCCTATACTGGCTACTATTATTTTTAAAAATCTTGCATTTAAAAATATGTTTAAAAGCATCCTATCAGATGCTTTTCTGATAAGAAAAACATCTTACATCTTAATGAAAATTTTTTTGATAGTTTGTTGGGTTTTTATGGCATGTATTTCATGGGATTGAATATAGGCATTTTTTATAATATGCTGGTTAGTCTGAGAGGAGCAGGGATTATTTTGCTGAATTATTCTGGCTCAGAGTCTTAAGTTGCAGTCAAGTTGTTGGCTAGGACTGCAGTCTAGACTTGACTGGGCCTGGAGTATCTGTTTCCAAGGTCACTCATGTGTCTCTTGTCAGGAGGCTTCAGTTCTTCCCCATGGACTTCTCCATAGGGCTGCTTATGACATGGCTTCTCCCAGAACTAGTGATATAAGCAGCGGTGAGGGAGACTGGGGAGGTGGAGGCGGGAGGAGAAAAAGGAGGGAGGAAGGCTGGAAGCTGCAAGCCTTTTAAAACCTAATGATAGAAGTGATATACCATCACTTCTGGTGTATTTTTGTGTTATGATGTGGGAGAGTACACACAAGAGTGTGAATACCAAGAGTGTGACTGTAATTGGGCCATCTTGAAGGCTGGCTTCTGCAGGATTTTATTAACGTTTTTTTTTCATGTCCTCAAGTAGCAAAGACTTTTTGGAGGCAAGTGATAAAGTGAGTAGGAGTAGTGCTTCATAAAAGATAGGAAGTTTAGGGTTATGGAAAAACTGATTAGGAGTTTTACTTATGGGAGAAAATACAGGAGCAGAGAGGAGAGAAGATAAAATAAAGAAGTGAAACAATGGCTGGGCGCGGTGGCTCACGCCTGTAATCCCAGCACTTTGGGAGGCCGAGGTGGGTGGATCACGAGGTCAAGAGATCGAGACCATCCTGGTCAACATGGTGAAACCCCGTCTCTACTAAAAATACAAAAAATTAGCTGGGCATGGTGGCGCGTGCCTGTAATCCCAGCTACTCAGGAGGCTGAGGCAGGAGAATTGCCTGAACCCAGGAGGTGGAGGTTGTAGTGAGCCAAGATTGTGCCATTGCACTCCAGCCTGGGTAGCAAGAGTGAAACTCCGTCTAAAAAAAAAAAAAAAAGAAGTAAAACATTATTAAATACCTTTCTCGCTTAGCTGCTAGCAATTGAAGAAGCATATTTCCCTACTTATCAATTCAATCCAGCAAATGAACAGATAAATTCATTTTGTGGATATAGAAGATTGAATGTCATGTTTTTTTTTCTTTTTTGCTGTTTAAGGATGAACATTGTCTCAATTACAGAAAATGATATTTTTTTTTCTTTATCAGGCTATTTCAAGAAATGAGCCTTCCATTTTGAAGGCATATAGAATTAGATGGAGGCAGTGATATCTAATTCTCATTTAACTACAGTCTATAGTAATTTAATTTCTGGCTGGGCGCAGTGGCTACGTGTTATCCCAGCACTTTGGGAGGCCAAGGCTCCATCTCTAATAAAAATATAAAAATCAGCTGGGTGTGGTGGCACGTGCCTGTAATACTGGCTACTTGGGAGGCTGAGGCAGGAAAATCGTTTGAACCTAGGAGATGGAGGTTGCAGTGAGCTGAGATTGCATCACTGTACTCCAACCTAGATTATAGAGTGAGACTCCACTTTTAAAAAAAATTAATTTCTATCCCAATCATTCGTGGCAAAACCTGTTTCTGAAAACTTTACATGCTGTTTCTGAAAACTTTACATGCTAAATCTACTTTTTTTATTTTAAACACACACAAGACACAAAGTACAAGATTAGCAAAATCATGTACCTGCCAACCTGATATATAAAGGCAATATTTTGCCATAGTTACTTAAGGTCTATCTCTTTCTTTTTCCCCCCCTTTTTTTCTGTTCTCCTATTTCTCTCTTTTACTGATTTTACTGGATAGTTTGTCTTGAAGAGTCTGAATTTTGCTGATTGCATCTCTGTGATATTGTTAAATATGTTCTTCTGTTCTCAGTATTGCCTCTAAATTGTTAGTTATATTTAAAAGTTTTATCAGATTC